GCCTGTCTTGACTTGAGACTCGACTCGGACTTCGCCTGTCTTGACTTGAGGCTCGACTCGGACTTCGCCTGTCTTGACTTGAGACTTACTTGTGACTTGCAAAGCAATGACTTGGTCTCACCTCTTGCCACTGACAGTTTTTATGTGATATTCAGGTTCAGGAACGCCTGTCAATAATCCAGAGCAGGAAGACAGAGGAAGACCTACTGGGTGTAAAGGTCACCGACCTGCTACGACAACTTACACAAGACCTACCCCAGGTAAAAACTGAAAAAGGACGGTGGAGGATGGCCACACAATATGGTTTTGTCGGTTGTTCTGTATGTTTACGACTGCTTTTCGTTGTTAGGAAGACAAGACGCAGCAGAAAACAGTCGTCAGAGAGCGAGTCGACCAGCTCAGAAGAGAATGTTCGTATGTCCTGCAATCCAAACGAGAGAGGTACTTACTGCTCCAAAGCTAATGTTAGAAATACATAAACACAAAACCCCCCCCCCCCCCCCCCCCCCCCCCCCAATTGCGTAATTGGTGACAATCTGAAGAGTAACACCCCTAGGCATAAATTATTGTGAATTGAAGCCTGATTCAGACTAAAAAAAAGACCACAAACCGGACATTTCTCACATGTTTGAATACAAGAAGATACAAGCAGATACAAGACTAGAGTGCCCTCTGGCGGCTGTCAGTGTGAAAATAATAAACGTGAATTTTCGGTGGTACAGGAGTAGGAGATGCTGGTACACAAGCCTAGAGTGCCCTCTAGTGGCTGTCACTTTAAAAACGACAAATGTAAATTTTTCAGTAAGTTGCAAACCCAGCCAAAGGATGAAAAAAATGTACGATTTATAGTCCAGAAAATATTATATATTGTTACATCTGGTCAGTTTTCTCTATAACTTAAACGTATTGTACAAATTGGTCGTCAAAGTACGACGAAGCTGATAGCTACATCTGGCGAGCTAACTGTGAGATTATAATAATTATCGCTTTTATTTTATTTTGCAGAAATACAGCAGGGTTTAAGGAGCTTCTGCGTCCTGTTGAAAGCAGTCAAGAACAAGAGGATAAAGGAGACTGAATGATGCTTTAAAGGTCCTAGGTAAAAATTCTATTGTTAACTTGTAACTCGTACGCTCTTTCTCGTCGGAATTTCAGACCGTACATAAATACCTGGTATATACAGTACAAAGTATTCGAAATTATTTTCTGTCACTCCATAATACCAAATTGATTAAACACCACCAAGCAAAACTGTCACATATATTAGTTTTTAGTTTAAGATTATTACACTTATTTACATTTTCCGTCCTTTCATTTTCATGGACAAGGCTTAGCAGCAGCTAATAAGACGCTAGCACAGACATCCAGGCTGGATCCAGCTGCCAAACCTTTCCAAATTATTTAAATGTAGTCATTATTATCATTATACTTCTGCCTTTTCCCCCAATAGATGGCGTAGAAAATTATAAAAATAAATTTAGCAC